GTGTATAACTGTAGCCATAGCCATAATATTTTCTTATGTTTAATGTTAGGACATGTCACTAGAGGTTGTGTTTGAATGTTTTTAGTTACACACCACGTAATCAACAGACACACACACATTGATTTGCTGCATGTTTTGGCTACTGCTCTGGCCAGCTGCAAAGCTGTCCTGGGAGACGCTGCGGCCTGGCATCTCCTGTTAGTATGGGATTAGCCCGAGGTGATATAATGTATTAGGCCTGTTAGGTTCAGGGTCTTTCATCTTTCAGCTGCCTGCGTGCATGTTGGAGGTGCAAGATACCTGAGCGTGTAATGTTAATTTTTACCTGTGGTCATTGAATAAATCAGCACTGTTTTGAAGTTACTTGGACTGCCTCGTCTCTCAGAGTTAGCATGGTAAAAAGAACCGGACTGCAACACAACTGAGTCGCTGGAATTTCAGTCCTTTGGTGGCCAGCAATGTCCTCTAATTGTACTGGATGGTGTGAGTCAAAAAGAAGGTATGAAGTTGTCTGAGCAGATTCTCAGTCATCCTGGTCATAGTAAGCTGAAAAAACTTAGAAAAAATCAACTGGACTAGATTTCTAGGCCGAAGACGTTTCACTTCTCATCCAAGAGGCTTCATCAGTTCTGACTGACTGGTGTTGAACCAGAGATATTTATCCCCCTCGGTGGTGTTTCAGTCCTTTGATGCCCAACAATGTCCCTTAACGACTGAGTCGTTATAGCCCAGTATCGGTGAGAGTCATTACCTGTCTTTGAATCCTCCCCTGTCGACCAACACCTATTGTCCTGGTGGGCATGTTTGGGCAGAGATCTCAAAACAAGATTGTAGATGGATGACAAGTTGTGTCCTAGTTCACCACCCCTATTTTGTGAGGGACGTTCTATTTTTACAAAATAGCTTCCTTAACTCCTCTCTCAAACCAGCGATGTTCTCTGGAGAGGATCTGGACTTCACTGTCCTCAAAAGAATGTCCTTTGTCCTTCAGGTGGAGGTGGACTGCTGACACTGGTACACTGGAGTTGGCCCTCCTGTGTTGGGCCATGCGTTTGTGAAGCGGTTGCTTAGTTTCACCAATGTACAAGTCATTACACTCCTGACTACACTTAATTGCATACACCTGTTAGGTATTTTTTAGTCAGATAGATATTGGTTAGGTACTTGTTGTATTAGAAATGTCTTTAGTGTAGACAGGATGTCTAGCTCAGGCTGTTAAATGCTTACTCATTTCCAGGAGTTACTCCAGGTTGTTTATGTTC